TGGGCTGTGGGGCCGAGGTGACAGGGATGAGCGGAGGTCAGATAATATGGGTGCCCTCTTCGGTACTCGCTGTCACTTTCCAACCTTGCTTTCTACCCCGAGTTGCGCCCTTTTTGCCACCCCAGAATATTGCCCTAGTCCACGGACTTGCCCACGCTCCTGGGCCTCCAGCTTACGTTTTCTGCTTTTTCCTTAAATCGCCGATACCTTTTGCCCATTCTCCATCACCCCTTCTTCACTCTTAGCTGACGCTGCGCAATGAACCTCCACAGGCTTCCAAGACCACATCTATCGACGCCTGTACCCGTATGCTGTCCCCAAGCGCATGACGGTGAAGGGACTGTGTGTGCTCCTAAGGCCGACCTCTCCGGTTTCCCGCTCCTCCCCACCCTTTTGCCCCTTTTCTCTCCGACATCGCTGCTTTGTCCCTCTGCCCGGGTGAGTCTCGCCGGTGTCAATCATGCTTTATGACTTCTCCTCTTATCTTTCCAGAACACATTTTAAAATAACTTCCCCTACTCGTTGCCTCTGCTTCTTTTCTCTGATTCTTTCTTTTAGCTACTCCAAAGAGGCTTTTATCTCCATTATTCCACAAAAACTGCAGTTTCAAGGTCACTGTCAGTCTTTACATTACTAAGTCTCAGTCCTCGGCTTAGCTGAACTCTCGGGAGTATTCGGTAGCGGATTACTCCATGCTTTATACGTGTTCTTACTTGGTCTCTCTGATGCCATCTTTCTCACATTTTTCTACTAAAATCGCTGCCAGGCTTTCCCCGTCAACTATGCTGGTTCTGCATCTCACTAACCTTTAAACGTTAGAATGCGCTGGATATTGACTGGTTCTCTACATTTCCTTCTTTTTCATTTACACTCATCTTGTGATGATCGATCTACTCTTATTTATGGTGTTAGGTACCGTCTGTATGCAGACAAATCCCAGTTGTGTATCTCCACCTCGGATCTCTCCCTTAACCTTGAGATTCGCATATTTACTCCCTACCTTCCTGTGTACAATATCAGACGCTTAGCGGCTGCCCCTTCCTCAAACCTGCTGTTGGCCAGCCTTGTTCATGGCAGTCAGTGACCGTTCCTTCCTTTCGGCTACTCGGACTGCAAAACTCGAAGTCATTCTTCACTTCTTTTTCTCTTACAACCACATCTAATCTGTAGAAAAACCTTGTTGGCTAGAACTTCAAAAAAATAATCGGTTTGATTATGGACTGAGTACCGAATAAGACGAAAATGTACTGAAATGGAAAGGTGGAGATTGTTGACCAGGGGTACAAAACAGGTTACGAAACAAGGGAAGACCTACAATAAATTGTTACTCTAGTTGCTCTAAAAGTAACACTTTTTATTTTAAAACAATATTTGTCTATATTTTCAAATTTTCTATAATGCATAGGAACTGCTTCTATAACAAAAATCTATTTAAAATAATAAAATCAATTCTATAAACACACATTCTTTCTCCCTCCCTCCCTCCCTCCCTCCGTGTCTCTCTCTCTCTCCTCTCTCTCTCTCTCCTCTCTCTCCCTCTCTCTCCCTCTCTCTCCCTCTTTCTCTCTCCCTCTCCCTCTCCCCCCGCCCCCCAGCTACGTCTCTCCACTTCAGTGGCTACCATCTGGTGTAAACCATAATCAACTTTCACCCAAAGTACTGTAACAGCCTCATAACTGGCCTTCCAGCTTCCAAGCTTGCCCTCAATCTTTTTCCCAACACAGCAGCTAAAGTTTCAAATTGTGATTGTGATGGTTGCTCTGCTCCAAATCTCCCAGTGCATTTCCATCTCTCGCTGCATAAACTCTAAAGCCCTCATCATGGCCTTCGGGGGTCTATGGGATGGGACCTTCTGAAACCTCTCTGCCCTCACTTCTTCCGACGGCCTCCCTCTCACTCTGCTCCAACCGCTCTGACCTCGTTGCTCTTCCTCAAATGGAACAAGTATGCGCCTCTCTCTAGGTCTTTGCCCTTTCTCTTCTGCTTGGAGTTCTCTTCCCCTGATACCCAGCTGTTAGTTCTCTCACTTCGTTCGGGTTGCTGCTCAAATTTTACTTGATCAACAAGGCTTTCCCTGAACACTATATACATACATATATCTCCCACTACTCTCTTTCAATGCACTTACCAGCACCTGAAATATTATACAGTCTGTGTGTATTGTCTATCTTCCCCAACTAGAAGGTCAGCTCATTGTGAGCAGGTGTTAGTGAAGGTGTCATTCGATGGCATGTCCCCGAAACCTTGAACAGCACCTGATGTGAGACACAGACACTGAAATAAATACCTGTTCAATGGACTAGAGGATGTAGGAAGGCGAGAGCAGATATTTGATGTATGTCCAAACTCCAGGGAATGCCAATTAAATGGAGTTGTGTGACACAGTTCCCATAGGCAGGAATGGAGGCAGCGAGACCAGTTAAGAGGCTACTGCAGTCACCCAGATAAAAGAAGTCAGCTGTTTAGACCAGGGCAGCGGTGAAAGTCAGAAGAAATAGAAAGCTGTTGAGTATACTCTGAAGATAAGCAGACAGGGCTTGCTATTAGACTGAGTATGGCGAGATGGGAAGAGAGGACTCAAAAAAGATTTTTAGTTTTTGTCCTGAACAACTAGGTGGATGATGGTGATGTTTAATGAGATGTGGAAGGCTTGAGACATAACATTTATTTGAGGAAACACTCAAGGTTCTGTTTTGGACATGTTTAGTTTGAGACGCCTGTTAGACATCCAAATTGGGATAAGTAGGCACTTGGGTATGGGAGTCTGGAGTCAAAGGAAGAGGGCCGCGCTAAAGATATAAATTTGGGACTCATAAGCATATTGGTAGCATTCAAATAAGGCTTGATGGGATCATCAAGGGAGTCAAGTAGATGTAAACCATGCCCACTCTATGATGGGTCCCCAAAGGGCTACACTCTCAAGGTAAACCAGGTCACCTGTGCTTCACTGACTTACATCCCAGTTTTCTATTATCTGTGTTGTCCATGGAATCTCTATTCTTCATCGTAATTTAAGCCAGTCTTGGGTTGGCAGTACCTGCACACATGCTGCAGATGAAAACGAAATTTCTCTAGTGCAAAAAACCAACATCCTAGGCCTCAACTTATTTTCACAAATATTTCAGATACAATGTCCAGAAACAAAAACAAGAAAAAATAAGCAAGAAGCCACAGAAACAATAGAGAGCCAAAACAAACTCGCAGACTTAAGATCAAAAAATCAGCAGATACCGTTATTAAAAGGCCTATGCATTAAATAGAAGGAATTGGTGAACAGGTAGGTAAGTAAAAAAAAAAAAAAAACACAGGGACTGCAGCATGCAGAGACTTTTTTTAAGGGAAAATACGAAAGATAATAAAAGACCACGGCCAAATGTCTTTTCCAAAGATGGATGTGCCAACATATCCGGTCCTACATGCTCTTGTACTCTGAGACCTTGTCGTGCTCCCTCTCATGAGGTGCGACCTGATCTCCCGCCCCTTGATCTGAGCTGGCAGTGTGACTCAGATGTGAGCAACAAAATATAACAGAAATGTGACTTGTACATGTGATGGAAGGGATGCTGTGGGATTACTGAGGCTAGGGTAGAAAATCCTGGCCAGCTCGCATCCAGTTCTCTCGGGATGCCCTCCCTGGAAGAGCCAGCTACCACGTAAGGAATCTGACTGCCTTGGTGCGGCCATGCTGGAAAGGTCACGCGTAGGCTCTCTGACCAAGAGTCTCAGGTGAGTTTAGCTGTTCGACATTCTCCACCGAGGCACCAGACATGTGAATGAACTCATTCTGGACCCTCGAGATCAGCCCAGCTGCCAGCCGATACCACCAAGTGGCCACACTGGATGTCATGAAGAGCGAAACTATAACCTAGCCAAGCCCTGCCGGAATTCCTGACTTAACAAAATTGTCGTGTATAATAAAATGGCTGTTTTAAGCCACTGAAGTTTTGAGGAAGTTTGTGATACAGCAACGGGTAACCAGAATAGAGACACAGAGGATAGAGTGTGAAGAACTAACCTATTTTTAGAAGGAAAGGAAGTCTTTAGAAGAGAAGGAATATTTGAAGAAGTGATAGCTGAATATATTCCAAAGTCGAAAAAAAGTCATCAACATACAATTCAAGGAGCTCAACAAATCCCGAACAGGACGAATAAAAGATCAATGTCCAGGCACGTTCTATCAGAGTGAAACTGCAGAAAACCCAAGAGAAAACTCTTAAAAGTAGCCAAAGAAAAAAAGTGTATATTCAAATGAGATACACAGAGGTGACTTATCAATAGTACCAATTAAAGATAGAAGACAGGGAAATGATACCTAGAAGGCATCAAAATGTAATAACTGCCACATAGAATTCTGCACCCATCAAACACATGATACAATAATCAAGGTACGATAAGGACATTTTTCAGACAAACAGTAACAGAAATTTCACCACTAGCAATAATTCACTAAAAATATCCTAAAATATAATTAAATAAAAATAAAAATATCCTAATGATATAACTGAGACAATAGAAAAGTGATACCGAATGGAAGATACGAGAGGCAAGAAGGACTAAAAAGCAAAGAAAGTGTAATCATGTGGATAAATATAAATATTGTTTCTATGAACAAGTATAAAATGTGTCATGGGCATTAAGATATATAGAATTGCTTTTTCTCACAATGGGTTTGCCACCAAAACACAAGTGTCATGAAGACCACCCCTAAAACTAAGCCAAAATGGAAAAGAAAAGACTCGTATCAAGATTGTCATCATGACACACATAGGTTTGGACAAATCCATCGCTACTGGCCATCTGATCTCCAGGCGGGGTGGGG